AATGCAAGAAAAGTGCACAATTCTTTCATTGGGAGGGATAATGAGCTTATTTTTGTAAACTGAACTCTATTCCTTCAATTCTCTTACAAAGAATAAAGCAGAAAATCATTTAACAAAAATGATCCTCAGACTAATAACAGTGTCTGTAGATTCACTGCATACTTGCTTTCTTCGCAACAATGATTTTGTGTATAATCAAGCACAGCCAAACAGCATGTTATTAAAGCTTTATTGTGCACTGGTGAAGAGATGATCATTCCGAGCACTTACCTCGACTGGAATAATGATAATGTAGGCATCTAGCTGACAACGGTCAAACTGACAAAACTAGTGTTTTTGGCTGCTTATTTGGATGCTGAACACATGGCATGAACATAATGTTTCTATGGATTTAGCTCTCAAAAAGCCATATGTAGATTATTTCATTACAATGTGAAGATTTGCCACATGGTCTGCTGCTGATCCAATTTCTTGTGTGAAGACCTTTCTACAGGGTCACAAGGCAAAACTAAGAGAGAGAGAGAAAAAGAGACAGAGAAATGGAAACAGAGAAAAAGAGGGAGATAGAAAGCAAAACTAAAGAGAGAGAGAGGGAGAGAAAAAGAGAGATACCAAAACTCAAATGATCTGGTTACTATCACATCACGATCATGGGAATTTGCTGTGCACAGAATTGGCTGCTGGGGATACAACATTACAACAATGACTACATTTCAAAAGGTAATTCAGTAATTATGAAGTGTGAAAGGGTGTCATGAGATTGTGAAAGATGCTATATGAATGCACATCTTTCATCTTAGATTATTGTTCAAAATTTTAAAATAGTTTACATTCCTATTTTATGAAGACTGGCAGATAAATGAGGGTACCCAGGTGCATGATTTACTTGGATAATTTATAAACATTTTCTCATCAATCATTTCGTAGATGTTATTACATACCTCTGGAGCAGGTGAGACTTAAATCCAGGCTTCCTGGTCCAAAGATAGGGACACTACCACTTTACCACAAAAGCCCGTCCTGCATGATTTTTGTGTTTTGAGTTTTATATATTTATAAAATCTTGTTTGGTTAAATAACTTCAATGTAACCGACTGGATTTTCAGAACATATCGAAACCTGGTACTGAATTTGAAAGTTCTGACCTGTTCACAGCAGGGAAGCCCAGCAGTGACTGGTGAAACACAGAATCATAACCAGTACATTCTCTTTTGTTTATTATTTAATGATCTGTGGACATCGCTCGGAAGGTCACGAGAATGGTCCTAGGAATGAAAAGCTTAACATATGAGGAATGATTAAGGACCCTGGGTCTATATTCGATCGAGTTTAGAAGAATGAGGGGGGATCTAATTGAAACTTACCGAATGCTGAATGGCCTAGACAGAGTGGGTGTTGGGAAGATGTTTCCATTAGCAGGAGAGACTAGGACCTGAGGGCACAGCCTTAGAGTAAAGGGAAGATCTTTTAGAACTGAGATAAGGAGAAACTTCTTTAGCCAGAGAGAGGTGAATCTACGGAATTCACTGCCACAGAAGGCTGTGGAGGCCAGGTCATTGAGTTCATATTTAAGACGAGATAAATAGGTTTTTCGTTGTCAAGAGGATCAAGGGTTACGGGGAGAAAGCAGGAAAATGGGGTTGAGAAACTTATCAGCCATGATTGAATGGCGGAGAAGACTCGATGGGCTGAATGGCCTAATATCTGCTTCTATGTCTTATAGTCTTATGGTCTTGTGGCTCATCCCTAATTGTCCTTGACTGATTGACCTGTTACATGTAATTTAGGCTAGATAAGGATGACAGATTTCCTTCATTAAAAGACATGAGTGACTCAGATGGGTTTTAATAACAATTGCAACCATTATTGAGGCTAGCCTTGAATTTCAGATTTCTTAATTGTGAATCCATTTCTCCAGACCATTGACCTGGGCCTCTGAATTATTAGTCCAGTGGCAATACCACTACGGCACCATCTCCCCATTTGTTGATAGCTTTTTAACCCAGCCACTGTATTTTCATCAAAGAACCATAACTATTTACAGCGGGCAGGTTTAGCAATGACCTGCATCAATCTTTTTCTGAATTTTTTTTTTAGGTGAGGGTGAGACTTAAAAGCTTTGTGGAACTGTTTTTAACAGAGCCAGTATATACAGCAATAGGGCTCGGCAGCAGTAGTCTGCTTCTCCACCACACTCTGCACCTTCAGATATTTCTTGACTTATTCAGGGTAGAAAATATAAGCGACATGGCAATTTCACCTACATCTTAATGCATATCTAAAGCCAAACCTCCTCTCTCTGTCTTCCAAACTCTTCTCTGTATACTGACACACCTTGCGGGTGCACCCATCCCTTCCACATCTCCATCTGAACATTCATCGCAAGTGTACACCTTCATTTTAATGTGATGTTACTCTCAGTGATCCTTCAAGCACATTGCCCATCTATCCTCTCAACACCATACATTTCTGGCAGCAACAGCTCAGTTCCCTTCTCATTATGAGCACAGAACAGCAGGGAGAGGCAGGTAACAGCAATGGAGCAAGAGGACAGCAAAGAGTCCTCACAGGCGGTCACTGACTCATGAAAAGTTCTTGTGACACGGTAGTCCCTACCTCTGGACCAGCAGTTTCAGGTTCAAGTCCTACTTCAGGACTTGTTGGCTACGGAAAGATTGCTCATGACGTGATTCAGGGGGTGATAATTAGCCCAGGATTCCTTCCAATACCTGCACACTGCTCTCCAGAAGCACTTAGAAGATATGGTCAAACAATAGAAGTTTCCACAGGCTGCAGATTGTGCACAAGTTAAAGGCAAACAGTTTTTGCCAAATGGACCAACAATTTCAACTTTTCTAACCAGCTAGCAAACCAGCATTTGATTTCATTTGAGGTCACATGTACCAAGATAGAGTGAAAAGTATTGCTTTGTGTACTAGACCAGGCAAAACATACCTTACGTAAGTGCATCAGGGTAACAGAACAGAATGCAGAATCATGTTTGAAAGACCTCTCCACTGAATGTATAATCATCACCAAATTAAGTGGAATATCTGACGGGCTAGCAATTAATTACTTAATAAGTAGAATAATATTATTCATGTTTTTAATAATTTTTTTTTATTGTTTTATTCTTTACCCAGCTTTGCATACAAAAGCTTGCTGACCATGGATAGGAAAAGCTGGACACATTTTCTGAAATGAATTGTGATGGTGTTCTTCTTAGACTGTGTTCTCGATCAGCTGTGCTATCTTGGCAACTCCCTCCATATTATTATTGCTCTCTCAAAAGCAGCCTTCAGCCTTTTTACTGTAAAAAATAAGTCAGCACTGTCAGGATGCACATCATGCACCATTAAAGAGTTGATTACATTCAAGGCTAATATTCAAAGAACCCTAGAGATAGAACAACAATGGAAATAGTTATTTCAAACATCAGGATCACAAAAATAATTGCTTTGTTTTAGACTGTCCCTTCATTCTGTTGATATGCCTACATGCACTGTAAGGAATTAGTTTCTCTCCCTCAACACACTTCCTCTCTGTGAAACACCACCTGAGTTTCTGCCCAGCATCTTAATCAAACTCTATTTCCTCAGTCTTATACTGGTTAAAATTATGTCTGCTCCACAATTGCACTGTCAGCTCTTTCAGGGAACAAAATATTAGCAGGTTTTTCATTCTCAAAAGTCTCCCTCAAACACTTCCTTCTCCAAATAGGTTATTGCATGAGTTGAATAAGCTACTGTCTGAGAACTACCTTCTTATTGTGCATGTCTTGTGCAAAATTTGACACTTCAGCTGTCACATTATTCACAACAGCAACACTACACAGATCAGAGTGACATTCCCCCATCACTACAATCAGGGATCACTGGCATTTCTCATTCCTTTCTGCCTCTCTGCCATCTTTGAAATTATCAAACACTTAATTTTCTGCCAACAGCTTTCTTCTCTGAATGTATTCTTCTGGTACCTTGCATATATGTGACAGTTAAGAGACAGCATTGCATCAAATGGCATCTCTTTCCCCTAGACTTTAGATGTAACATCGACCATTGAGATCCTATAAATGTGAAAAGATGGCATTAACTTCCACTTGTAATATAACTGAGGAGAATGGCGCACAAGACTGACTGCATACTGGATAGGGCAAGTGTCTTTTCTCACCTGTCCTTTCATAGGTTCAGAGATAATACACTGATGACCTCTACATTTTCTGATTGATTCAAGAGCTGTTATTCTGGTCCTTGCTTCACATTAGGATCTAGGAGAGACCAGGATTTGTTAAATCAGCAATCTTGGCAGTGGAATCAGCAAGCTATCACCCAGCCAGCAACTGCAGCTCTGAGGAGATATGTGATCACTAGAGCTGCTGCATTGTCACTTTACATTGATCACTATGGAGCAAGGAAAACAAATAGCAAGGGGCAAGGAATCCACTGAGGACTGTATATTACTAACACCAATTGAGAAGGCCATCACAGCCTAAAGTTTTTTTTTAGAGACACCCCAGATCTGGATGTTAGCACTAATGTGGAAAAAGACTACTTCATGTAGTTTTCACTGTAATTTGTAATACAGATTACACATTGGATACTACAAAATAAAGCTTCCACAAATGATATTCCTTCATACCAAGCAAAGTTATTGGTCAAACATTATGATGTAAAACACTAAAGACCAAAGAAGGTGTCTTTAATTTATTGAGTAACTTGAAAATTCAATGTTTCACCTCCCTGAATGCCGATTAAAACATAGAACACTGTCAGAACTAAGATCCATGTTTTAGCTTACTTTAAAATACCTATTGAAGACAAAGATTAGTTTGCAGCATACTCTGAGGAAATGGTTTCAGTCATTGTAATAAAGCACAAAGCATCTCTAGCATGGAATGAATTCGTCTCCTGAGACATGCTAAATTCAGAGTGGCTAAAAGCTAATTACAATGATCTGTAGCAAACGGCATTCAATTTTACCAGCTAGATCTGTGAGAAGAGGTACAAACATCCTTTGAAAATGAAAACCTATGTATGATGACTAAAGAGAGCAATATGTCCTTCAGTCAAGAACAGTGTGCCCCTCAAATCCCTCAATGACATCATCATCACAGACAAAGCCAAATAGATTCAGTGTTGATTAGAATACTTTAATTTTGTGAAACAACTGTTAGCAGCCATATTAAATGCAACCAGCCGGCTTCAGACAGTCAAGGAGCACCTATAAATGAGCTTGAAGCGGTAGTGACTAGTTCAGCATCAGGAAAGGCAGAAGGAAAAGATGAAATTCTAACTGAAATACTGAAACCCAATGAGCTGGTTGTGGCTAAATGTCTAATGTCTCGCTTGCCAATTAAAAGGTAGGACAAGTTACATAAGACACACAGGATGACAACATATATTGATTATTAAAAAAATCAAGAAGACTGGAGGGGTTGCAACTTCTCGAATTTCTTTCCACAGCATCACTGGTAAGGCATTCACATGGGTCATTCTTCATCAATTGAAGGACCTAGTAATACAAACGTACATGCCAGTAGATCACTGCTGCGTTAAAAAATTTGAGGCATTAAACGTATAACTTATTTAGTGAAATTAAGAAAATAAGAAATAGGAGCAGAAGTAGGCCAACTGGCCCCTCAAGCATGATCTGCCATTCATTAAAATCATGGCTGATCTTTTCATGGGCTCAGCTCCACTTACCTGCCCAGTCACCATAACCATTAATACCTTTACTGTTCAAAAATCTTTGACTTAAAAAACTTCAACAAGGAAGCCTCAACTGCTTCAGTGGGCAGGGACTTCCGCAGATTCACATCCCTTTGGGTGAAGAAGTTCCTTCTCAATTCAGTCTTATATCTGCTCCCCTTTATTTTGAGGCTATGCCCCCTAGTTCCAGTTGCACCCATCAGTGGAAACAAACTCCCTGCTTCTACCTTACCTATTCCCTTCATAATTTAATATGTTTCTATAAGAACCACGACCCCCCTCAACCCACACCCATTTTTCTAAATTCTATTGAGTATAGTCGCAGTCCACTTATTCTCTCCTCACAAGCCAACCCTCTCAGTTCTGGAATCAATCTTGTGAACCTGCTCTGCATCACCTCCAGTGCCAGTACATCTTTTCTCAAGTAAGGAGACTAAAACTGTACGCAGATGATGCCTCATATGTAGCTGCCACAAAATACTTGACAAATCTGTGAAAAATAATTGAATGAGCATTTCAATTAAATCAAAATAGTATAAGGCTATTCTAAGAACTGGCAGAGCAGGTTAGGTGTCAGGACTGCAGATTGTGGGTATTTGTGAATGGTAAGATTGTCCTGGGCAAATAACATGGCAGGAGATTCTTCTCTCTCAAATATCTCTGGCTCCAAGGCATAGAGCTGGAATAAAAGTTGAGGAGAGGCCTCAACACATAAAAGTAGAGGGAAGAGTTCCTGAACGGTTTTATCAGATTATAGTCACACTCCAGAGGAATGATGTGGAAGTGCCGGTGTTGGACTGGGGTGGACAAGGTCAGAAATTACCCAACACCAGGTTATAGTCCAGCAGGTTTATTTGAAAACACAAGCTTTCCGAGTCTTACTCCTGGAGGAGGAGTAAGGCTCCGAAAGCTTGTGATTTCTGACCTTGTCCACTTCAGAGGAAAACAGAGATTCAGGAAAGGGAGGGTGTGACTTATATGGAATCGAGTAGTGGGGATTTTGGAAGGAATAAGAAGGACGACATGAAAACTCTGGTCCTGTCCAATAGGCAGATGTATTTACTACCTGTGAGGACAAGCAGAGAGAAATTGCAGGGAGGACAGCCACAATGTAGGCTATGGCATCCTTGTTCTCCTACATCTCTTTAGAATAGAGTCTTTAATATATGTTTCCTGTTACCATGGCAAAGTGCAAGTGAAACACTTAAACTGCAACAACTGTTTTTCTTCATCCACAAGTTGCAGAAAATCAGCATTCAACAACAAATGTTCCCTTAGCGACAGCATTTTCACCAATGAACTGAAACCTAAACTAACTGAGACAAATGATTCCTGAGCTTTGAGCCATGACAGCTGCAGGTCAGCTCAGATCCTTCTTGATTGGTGCATCCACTTCTAGGAGATTGTCTGGGTGGAAAAATGACAGGCACACATGCTTCTGATCAGCCCTGGTGTGGCACACGTGGAACACCATGCTGGTCAGGGCACTGGTGTGGGGGCATACTGGAAACTTTCAACTGTGCAGCTCAGGATGACAGGCTGCTGGGATGCACATTCTGCCAATTTGGACTGCGTATTTGTTATTGAATGCTGATTTTCTGCAACTTGTGGATGAAGGAAAACACTTGTTATGCTTCTTGTGTTCTGTCATGGCAACACAGGAAACAAACAATTTTACAAACGGTTGCTACATGTACTGAACAATACATCCCACACAATAATCATATCTTCTGCTCATGATGCTGAATACAATGTTTACCCTAGTGTTCTGGGCACTCAGCTGTACGAGCACCCAGCACACACCACCAGCCACCCCAACAATGTTATTTAAAGGAGCAGCATCCAAATTGCAAGCGAGGTGCTTTGGAGTACTCAGGTGTGTTTCAGGAGAAGCTTTAGAAGCTTGCTGTATTTGAAAGGTCCGCTGCTTCCTTACTGCAAGGTCAGAGGAGTTTTCTCCCCTATGCATCTGAAAGCCAAAACTGACAGTCAAATTGCCTGAGGTCTTCATTTCATCATCAGGATACTCCAAAATTCCCCACTTTTGTCAGCACAATTCTGAAAAAACAACTGCTTACAAAAACCTTTCCATAAGAACATATCCAGTAACAAACACAGAATCAAACTCTTGACTCCATGCAACTCCTTAAAGTCTATGGAGGGTCTTTACCTGGCCTCGTGCTCCTAAGCATTGTTTCCTGAGCGACTGAAGCATGGTTGTTGGAAAGTTGCTAATCTTCACCGCAGAAACTGCAGTAAGCCTTGCAGGACATCTAGATATGCATGACCAGCAGTGTCCTCCTGCAAGCTGTCCCACCAAAATTCTTCATCTGTGCCCCCTACAGCTGAAGTTGTCTGCAACCTTGCTCTCTAGGGAGCTGACATACATGCTGTCCTTTCCCCTACTCGCCTGGCTACAGTCTATGGTGCCCGCAGGCTGTCTAATGGTACTTGCAATCATATTCTCGTGGTGTAAACGATTCTTGTTGCATCTGCAACTCATTGAGAACGTGCAATTCTGTGGATAGAAAAAATGTCACAGCAGATTATGTCGAGCATGAAATGTGCATGACATAACTACTAACATACGCACCTATATGGTAAGTGGCACTGAAATGTGAGCTTGCCAGTACAGATTCCGTGGTGCACACAAAATCAAACTAACATGCAGAAAATATATCTAGTTCTTATTAAAACAAAGCAAACAGAATCAGATCTGCATTGCAAAGGAGTTAGAAATGGATACTGTCCAGTATAATTATTTTGCGTTTAGCTATTTTCCAGACAACTTATATTTTCTCTGTCTCTATATCTCTAATTTAAGGCAACTGATTTTGTGACTTCAGCTATCCAGCAGCATTTGTTATGCATCTCCAAAGTACAATTAGTAAACTTCTGAATGTGCCATTTTACTAGATGCTCTAGTTACTATAAAACATACAGCTTCAACGTAAGAAAAAATTAGCCAGCAGATCTACACAGCAACGGTCTTGTAGAGGGTTCAGATGTCAAATTTCAACAGAAAAGCTCAACTAGTTTTTGTAACCATTACTTGACCCCTGAGATTATAACCGTGAAATAGCTGACCTTTACTCACCGCTTCGGGTAAGTGATACTGTGTTGATTTTGTTTATGCCCATAACAGTTTGTGGCAGAAATACTTAGTTGAAAGCATGCGGCTTTAATAACTTCCCTGTTAACAACAGTCTGAGCATACATCAATAGATTTTTGCTAGACTGAGAAATTTGAGAGAGGTAGTTTTTAAAAGAAGCTACATTTTAATAAGGATTAGCAACAGTTTACGTCAATGTCTCCCAAACTTTATCCCAACGTGACTCTGTGCTGAGGTTTGAAAGTTGCTGTAGACCCACATTGAGAGCAGAGTTGGATGGAGATTGGTGAGAGGATGGTGTGGGAGGCTGAGCAAAGCAGGAAGCGTTAAACTACTGGATTTTTCTTATAAACTTAACTAATCAGGGGTCTTGTCTGTGACAGCCATCAGGTCTCAAAGATCTGTCTGTTAGGTCATGACCAGTATCAGAAAAGAACACAAGATTTTAAAGGGACCTTGCAGCTATTAGCAATCACTCTGAGCTCCATTGCTGCCTTGAAACTTACCACCCCAGAGTCTTGTTTCAGGAGCCCGCTAGGAGTTGTGAACCCCCCTCTCCCTGGTTTAGGAAGTCATGGACTACATGCAAATATGAATTATCTGGTCCCCAATTCTATGCCATACAGCAACTGATGGCCAGATCATAACCACAGATCACTGGGCTGTAATTTCCTGCCACTCTTATGGTCAGTCCCGCTGACCACTCAGGCTGGCAGTTTTCTTCCGTCATTCCATCATAAGAAGGGGAAGCAATGGCCTAGTGCTATTATTGCTAGACTATTAATCTGGACAACAAGGTAATATTCTAGGGACCTGGGTTAGAATCCTGCCATGGCAGATGGTGGAATTTAAATTCAATAAAATTCTGGAATGAAGAGTGTAATGATGACCATGGAACTGTTGTCAATTGTCATAAAAATCCATCTGGTTCACTAACGTCCTTTAGGGAAGAAAACCGCCATCCTTACTTGGCCTGGCCTACATGTGATTCCAAACCCACAACAATGTAGTTGACTCACAAATGCCCTCTGGGAAATTAGGGATGGGCAATAAATGCTGGCTTAGCCACTGACACCCACAACCTGTGAATGAATTATTTAAAAAAAAAGCAATGTCTTAAGCTATCTCTGCGTTAATTTTCCAGAACTAAATGTTTTTGCCCCTCTTCCTCTTTCCCTACTTTAAAATCCTATTAAGTCAGTCTCTTTGATCAACAAGAATTGACATTATGTCACCACCGTCACCAACCCCCTTACCCCCACAACTCCTGGGCAGAACTTTCCTATATCAACATTGTGTGCAGACAGACATAAAAGTGGGAGAGACTTCAGAGGGCAGATGTGTTTTCTCACGCAATTATGTTCTTCTCCACTGATACATATTCTTACACAGATAGAACACCAAACTTTATGGCCAAGAAGTTCGGAAACTTGCCAGAACCTTCCAGGCTCCAACATATGGGTGCCATATTTAAAAGGCCACCAGGACAGCACAGCATTCTCTACAACTCAGGAGGTGGCTGTGGAGGTCTGCACCAGAGACAGTTCTAGAAAACCTGGCTCGAGTGCTTCAAGACAAGGAATGATCGACCGTGATCTGCCAGGCAACGTACCACTGCCCACTCATGCTCCTATGAGTTTGAGTGAGTGTTATAAGGTTGCCACTGGAGCGGACTGTCACACTGGAGGTTGCATGTCAGGTATCTCCATCAGATGTCTTGTGTACAATCAAAGTTCGTCAATTCATCGCACCAGTACTGGCACTATAGTGGTAAAGCCTCTCACACGTCAGCCAAGATCCACACAAAAAATAAAAGGAGCTAAGACGTTCAACAACTCATGTAGATGGATGTACAGAGGATGTTCCCCTAGCTGAGGAATCTAGAACTAGGAATTACAGTCTCAGGATATGGAGCAGGCCATTTAGGACTGAGGTGAGGAAACATTTTTCACTCAGAGGGTGACCAACTGTGGAATTCACTACCACAAAAGGCTACAGAGACTAGGTCATGGAGTATATTTAAGAAAGAGATTCGAATTTTTTTTAAATGTTAAATGGATTAAAATATGGAGAGAAAACAGGAATACAACATTGAGATGGAGGATCAGCCATGATCGTGTTGAACAGCAAAGCAGGCTCAAAGGGCCAATGGTGTACTCCTGTTCCTACCTTACATTACAACAAGTCCCAAAGAATAAGAGATGTGTCCTGGACTCGAAGCAAGTGCAGGGATTTTAGGCGGGCCCAGCTAGGAGATACTAATGACTGTGGGGTGGAGAGAGAGAATAGAAGGGGTTTACAATGTTGGGCCTGTGCCTAAAAGGAATGGGATGTCCCACAAAAGACCAGTCTGACAGGGAGGCAGCTGCTTACCTATCCCCAAACCTTTCCCTGCAGGCTGAAAAATCACAGCGGAGGTAAACTGAGACCCTCGAGTGCCTGTTAATTGGCAGAATGAATTTGCATTTACTTTGTCTCAATAACATCTCAACACAAACTTCAGAAAATTGTTCTAACTGTATGAATGTGAAATTTTGTCTTGCAAAATATCTCTTAGGACCTTTCCACTTCAGCCACACTAATTACTACTGTTTAACCTTTCACCTCCTGGCTGCTGAGACTACGCAAAAATCTATTGGTCCGTGAAATGGGTTTCCTCTTCATCAGGTTTACTTCCTAAAACATGCAAAACTGCATGCACCAAACAAAACAGTCTGGCACTTCAGAGATGTGTACAGATTAACTTTCTACAAGCAATTCTTTCTTTAAAGTGTTTACTTTTAGCACAGAAGTAGCATCTTATTTGAAAGTTGCCATGTACAATTTATCTGTACTCCAACGAACTTCTCAAACCTGAAGTGCAATGATTTCCAAGTATCAAAATATTTTCTGTAAAATGTTATGACAATAAAATTCAGCTTCACAGCACTGCACAGTCAATGCTACAGTCACCTGTTGACCTCAAAATGAAACACCAGAGACATGAAAAATTGGAGCACGGGTAGGCCTTTTGAGCCTGCTGTGTCATTCAATACGATCATGGTTCATCATCCAACTCAGTCGCCTGTTCCTGTTGTTTTCCCCATATCCTTCAACCTCTTTAGCCCTAAAAACTAAATCAAACTCCTTCTTGACTCAGCTATTGTGTGGCAGGGAATTTCACAGGCTCACTACACTGCCTGAAGAAATTTCTCCTCATCTCAGTTATAAATGGCCTACTCCACATCTTTAGACTGTGACTCCTGATTCTGGACTCCCCCATCATCAGGAATATCCTTCCTGCATTTTCCCTGTCCAGTCCTGTTAGAATTTAATAGATTTCTGTGAGATCACCACTCAATCCTTCTAAACTCCACTCAACGTAGTCCTAAATGCCACATGCAGAGCTTCCGGTACAACACCTCTAGTAGCCCTTTGTTGCCTAAAGTAGAATTTAACATCAAACAGTCTTTCAAATTGATTCCACACCATGTTCTAGAAACTTGAATAGTCCAGGTCCAGTGAACCTCATTTGATCACTACTCACAATTGATCATGTGTTCAGGTGCAACAAGCAACACCGTGGTACCTTCAACTTTCTGCTGCTCTTGCAAAGCGTTTGAACATATTGCGGTGCATTCTTGTTGGAGGGGTTCCTGTGCTGGCTGAATCTGGAAAGGTTGCTTCATTCTGACAGTGGGTGTTAGCATTATGCAACAGAAGTCTGCTACAGGAGCCACAGGGGCTACAGGTGGAGTCCCTCTGAGTGAGCAACACAATGGAGCTAAAGCTGCAGAGAAGGTAAGCTTCACAGAAAGAGAGGAGAAGTGTTCTCTACGAAAGGGTCTATCTACCAAGGAATTTAAAGGAGTACTTCTCATACTTCTCCTAAGGACGATGCCCAAGATGTCTGCGACTGAAAAGGAGATGCCCACATAATAGTTGCCACCTCCTTTAAAACAACCTGCAGGCTCACAGCAAAGTCGGCACTTCACTGCCAATGGGCATCAAGGTTACTGCTGTTCTCATCACCAATGCAATCAGATCCTTCTAGCGCGAGTAGAAAACAATATAAACATACCTCAGTTCACCAGCTATTGTTATATCTGAAAGGTAACAGGGTTCCTGTACACCATGAGAGGAAAGCTTATCATTTTTTCACGAAACAGGTAGAACCAGGTTGAACAGGCGCCTGTCTTTGCCAGAGAAATGGGACTTACAATTGTGCAAAAAAACACTGACAGCACAAATGTGGTTCCCCTTGCCTCATTGGGAAGGGGCAGCAGGAATCATGTAGGGTTTAACACCAATAATGTGCAGTTGGAGTGCAACCTCATCCAAAGTATTGTGTTGCTGATGGCTGGTATCTTGGCACCATCCACTGTGCTACATATCTTGAGGCAGTCCGCCGTTTGTGAGCTTTTGAGCCGTTGAGAAGAAGCAGAGGCTGGCTGCCCTACCCCCTGCACATACAGTTGATGACCCATCCCCAACACGAGGACAACAGGTCCGCAGTGAGAGCCAGGTCGGGAGCATCATTGAGGTGTGTGTGCATGTGCGTGTGTCT